AGAGAGCAATTTTAACATTGGAAAAAATTAATTAAAATACTCAATCTTTTGAATGGTTACAGGAAATAGTGGAGTTAGTGGGATTAGAAGGTCCTCCATAAAATCACCAGGGCAGGCTACAATACAGAGCCACCTAAACTCCACCACAATGAGTACTACACCGATTAATTTAAAAGAACTTAAAAATTTAATGCAGGAATGCATAGTGGCAGAGATGAAGACATTTGCTGAAGTGACATTGCCACCATTAATCAGACAAGAAATAGAACCAGTTCAAAACCAGATGGCAGAACCTAGCCCAACAACTTAGCACAGAAACAGAAGAAATAAAGAAGCAAATAAATGAAATTAAACAAGAAATCCTAAAAATAGTAGCAGCCAATACTGAAATGGAAGAAAGAATGCATGAAATTGTCATGCCTGCCGCTGCTGATGTCATGCCTACCCTTGCTGATGCCCCTGAGGAGGCACCTGCCAGCCAGGAGCCTGTGGAATTACAGGCTCCTGAGGACAGTACTGCAGCAGAGAGGCAAAGACTGGATCCTGTAGCAGAAAGCTATCTAAGTGGTGAGGAGGATAGAGCCTCCCAGGGAACACCTGCAAGGGATCAGTCTCTGCTGCATCCCAGTAATTCGTCATCAGACTCACCAGAAATGAAAAAAATTGCTGAAGTGACTTTACCACCATTAATTAGAAAGGAAATGGAACCAATACAAACTCAGATGCAGAACTTAACACAACAAATTAGAGCTGAAACTGAAGAAATAAAAAAACAAATACAAGAGAATAAACAGGAGATTTTGAAAATAGCAGCAGATCATAATAATATGGAGGGGAAAATGAAAGGAATGGAACAGGAAGTACAAAAAGTTAGACAGAAGAGGCTCTACTAGAGTTGGAAATGGAGAAAGCATCATTAATAGTCAGATGCCAAAACATACCAGAAACCATAAAAGAAAATTTAAAGGAAGAAATGATTAAAAATATCTCCGAACAATTAAAAGTAGGCATGGAAGAGAAACTAGAAAATGAAATAGATCAAATATATAGGAAAAATAGTTCATATGCTAGGAAACATAAAGTACCTTGGGAGGTTTATTTGAAATTTGTAAGGAAAAGTATGAGAGATAAAATCTTGAGGGAAGCAAATGTAACTGAAGTAAGGGTTCAAAACTCTGAAATAAAATTCTTAAAGGAGGTACCATGGAGAATCTGGGAGAGGAGACAAAATTATACAACATTAACAAAATTATTAAGGGAGAATGACATCCAATATAGGTGGTTGGTCCCAGAGAGAACATTATTCACATACGAGGGAAGAAGGCAGAAACTGGATTCAGTTTTCAAAGTGGACGATTTCTTGGAAAGGCATGGAGAAAATTTAGGGTGGCAGAGTGAAGGCGGAAGCGAGAAAGATGAAGAAGAAGAAGTAAGAGAGGAGGCAGTAAAAGAGAAAAGAGAAAAGAAAAAAGAGGCAAAAAACCTTACTATACATCATCACACATATTAACTAGACATCAATACAAGTCGAAAGAACAGGGAAAGA